CAAGGTCAGGATTTGACCTGAGGCTTAGTTCACTACAGTCCCCCCTTTGGAAATCATCGCCTGTCCATGGGGATGAATTCCAACATGAACTTACGCCTTCGAATGTCCTTGAGCTTGATGTAATCCAGCAAGGAAAACAAAAGTCAAAGGATGTAATCCCACAATGTTGATGGTAATTCCATAATGTTGTTGGTAATTCCATTGTAGCAATGCTTTAACCCCTTGGAAACAAAGTCTGTAATCCATTGGAAAAAGTCATATAATCCACAACGGTAAATCCACAACGAATGGAGGTGTTGATTGATCAGCATACAGAGAGGTTCCCTTGGATTGAACTGAAGATGCGGCCACTGGATGAAGATTGGAGACCAACGCCAGGATTGCAGGTCTCCTCCAGCGAAGGTCGTCTCTGGGCGACGTCCAGGGTGCCGTTCTGGTTCAAATGTGTAATGCAATTATGTGGTTTAAGGTGGGTTTATGAAGGGGATTTTACATAAGGCCTTAACCTATATGCACCTGGTGTGTAAGCTATTATGATTGGAAACAGCTACAGCTACCAGTTAAAGGGTGGAAAATGGTAGTTATAGGGGTTTATACTGTAGTGAACTAAGCCTGAAGGTCAAAACCTTGACCTTAGGCACCATATGGGACAGGAACTGTCATTTCATTGATTTGAATCCAGAAATACAGGTTGACCCATCCTGAGACTTTCTTTCTTGAAAATTCAAGTGAAAGAACACTCTCTTTTTATTATCATTACTATTTTACAAATGTTGATAATCAAAGTGTTTTAGTCCAAACCATTTTAGATGCTGCAGTGAACTAATCATTTTTATTAACTGTGAAACAGTAATAACGATTTTTAATCCTCATGCAAAGTTAGAATTCATGTTAAGGTCTGTTACAGAGTAATTATGCATTTTCTGATTTTCTGTCTTTGAATGAGCAATGTAAGTGGTCCAAGGTCGGAGTCAAACGCAGACCAGTTGTTGGAACGAGCTGTCTTGTTTTTACATCCTCTCAGACGTAAATAGAGAAGCTGGCACCTGTTGGCAGCTGTTTTCCGCCAACCCGTCCAAACATTTCTCTCGTCTGTCTGAAAAACATTTTCAATCTGTTCCATAACATTCTTGCTGTTTTCTGACCTCTAGTGACCTCTTACGTCACAAAACACACCCCTGTCTGGTCGATATTGACCAATCAGAAACTCCCAAATGACCCGGAAATAGAGCTCTTTAAAATGTCGGTACTTCCTAGTTTAAACCAGTGTCCGGAGAGTGTCGAGAGTGGCAGAGAGTTTCGAGAAGAGTCGAGTTGGAGTCGTTGCAGCTCCCGTGCTGGGAAACAGGAAAATCCTGACATGACCACAGAGCTCTTCCGAGTCTTATGGGATTATAACTTTCTTCCACATCTGGGTGGAACTCTGACGGACTCCACTCATGTGAGTCCACTCGTGAGGTGAACCGTGTCGGACGGAATACCGTCACTACTTCGGACGATTCACAGCCATCCTACGGAGACGCTGGACCGGTAGCGTTAACTGGAACTCCGTATCCGCTGATTCATCTTCAGAGAGGTAACGAGTCGAGTTTACTACCGAGCGTACCGAGGAAAGCTGGGTTCGAATGGAGGGTGTCGTTCTGTTCAACACTTTCCCCTCACACACCATCTCCCTCCCTCTAAACTTCATCTTCCATCTTTAAATTCTTCTATCAAGTAGAAATCATTCCAGATATTTTAGAAATGTCTGTGTAAAGTTCTCATCCACCGCCGTGTGGATAATCAAAATTGTACAGTTTGCTAAACTAGCCATGTTGTTACTCTCAATTCTTGCCAATTAATGTAAATGTGTGATGTGTTAAACTTGATTATGTTAATAAATGACCCACTGTCTTGGTGAGTCAAAGATAATTAACGTTTCCGTCCACATTTTATTAGATTCAATGCACGTACATTATACAGTCCAGAAAAATGAAAGAATCCGTTTAATTGATGAATATATCTCATGCATATGTTCATTCTACATACTGGTGGCCCGTTACGTGTTCATAAATGGACTGTGTATTCGTGTAAGATTGATATCATGTTGGCATGAAAAGTGCAGATTATGCTGTGATGGAACGCAGCGCAGCTGGGACGCTTGGAGAAAGTGCAGCGTGTTGAGCTACGATGCTCAGAGACAGCTCACGGAAATGTTAGCAGCTTGTGGTGTTTTGAAAGCTGAAATTGTACGTCTGTTTTGTGTGACAAATTTGCTGAGCTGTGGAAACGCTTTATTCTGTTTAAACTGTGTTCCAGACGCTGTTCTGGTCCTGTTCGGTTTCTGAAAAGTTTGAACGGTTGGTTTTAAATGGTTGGAAAGACGTTTTTAAGTCCGGGGCGCCGACTCCGTGCAGTTCAGAGCTTGATTCGTTACATTTTTAACAGAAAATGGTACATTTTGACAGTTTAAAAGACGAAAAGTTGACGGACTTGTTCAGGCTAAATGCTAACAAAGATAGCTGAAATGGCGATCTGTGATTGGTTGAAAACTGCCGTGTAACGCTTTCATTGACTGAGAGACGTGTCAGGTCGTAAAACCCACCCCCGTGCTGCTCTGTCATTGGTAGATTCAGTCACGTGACCCGGAAATAAGTTCGGTTGCACCGAACCTTCTCTGTGCTTAAAATCTGTTTTTTTAAAAGTTGAAAAACGCTTTAAAGTTGATTCTGATCCGCTGCTCAGTTCCTTCGAAGCCTAATAGCTGAAATTTTGCCACGTTTGAGTCTAAAATCCGTCATTAAATGATGTTTTTGAACAACGCTAGCGATGCTAATTTTAAGCTAACAGCTAACGACCGGATGAGTGACGTGTCACGTCACTTCCTCCATGTCAGATGGTAAAGCTTGGTTGCACTGAAAGCCTTTGCTGTGCTTAAAATCACTAAATGAAGCTGCCACATGTCCCATAAAACTCATGTTCATGCAAGAAAGTCGTGCTTATTGAAACAACGCCACGTTTAAGCTTTAAAACCGTTCAGAAATGTTGATTTTAACCGAGTTTAGCCGAAGCTAACTTTAAGCTAAGCGGCTAACAACAGGATGTCAATAGAACGTCACAGGAAGTCGTCATAGACTCCTGCTGGTAGAAAGCTAAACACTGCCCCTCCTGTGGAAACTTGATATCACAGTTTCACTTCATCTTT